TGACTGTAAATTACCTAAAGGTAAAATCTATGCGATGGGGCCGGCTGAGAAAGTTGAACTGCGGAACTTTATTGATAAAAACTTAGCCCGAGGTTTCATTCGCCCGGCTTCCTCCCCTTTCGCCGCGCCTGTACTTTTCCGAAAGAAGAAAGACGGGGGGCTTAGATTGTGCACTGATTATAGGGGTCTGAACGCTGTTTCTTTGTCCAATGCCTACCCCCTCCCGCTAATCAAGGACTTGGTAGCTGAGGCCACCAAGGGCAAAATCTTCTCGAAACTTGACCTCCGAGATGCATATTTCCGTGTGCGCATTCGGGAGGGGGATGAAAGTAAGACTGCATTTAATACCCCTTTGGGGCAGTTTGAGTACCTCGTTATGCCCTTCGGGCTTCAAGGGGCTCCGGGGGTCTTCATGAACCTAATCAATGAGGTCCTACATGAGTTCTTGTTCAAAGGAGTGGTCCTTTACCTTGATGACGTGTTGCTGTACTCTCAGGACCTCCCGTCGCATATTAAATTGGTGCGCCAGGTCCTTAAGCGACTTTATGAACACCACCTGTTTGCAAAGCTGTCAAAATGTGAATTCCACAAGACATGCATTGACTTTTTGGGTTATCGCATCTCTGGGGGGAAGGTGGAAATGGACCCTGCTAAAATACAGGCTGTACTTGACTGGGAACCCCCCAGGACCCGCAAACAATTGCAAATGTTCCTCGGATTCGCCAATTTTTATAGAAATTTCATCCAGAATTTCGCTCAAATTGCCCTTCCTCTGACTGATTTGCTAAAGACCAAGGGGAAGGGGTTTGATGCTACGAAACCAGGCGCCCCGCTTAAATGGTCCCCTGCTTGCGCAGAGGCTTTTGAGAAACTTAAACTGATGTTCACCTCTGAGCCAGTGCTGGCGCGCCCTGATGAAACTAAAAAATTCATTGTCCAAACTGATGCCTCGGATGTGGCAATGGGGGCCGCTATTTTGCAAGAAGGGGAAGATGGTCGTTTACACCCCCTCGCATTTGTGTCTAAAAAGTTTTCTGACGCTGAACGAAACTGGGGGATTTGGGAGAAGGAGGCATCAGCGATCCGGCTGGCTCTCTCCACTTGGAGGCAGTGGTTGGAGGGGGCGCAACTGCCATTTGAAGTCTGGACTGACCATAAAAATCTGGAAATGCTGAAATCCCCCCGTTCTCTCAACGCTAAACAACTTCGTTGGGCGGACTTCTTTGCTAAGTTTCGATTCACTCTTCGTCATTTCCCTGGGACGGCTAATTCCCTGGCTGACGCGCTCTCACGCCTCCCACAACATGACAGTCAGCGTGAAATCATCATGGACTCTGTTTTTTCCCCCTCCCACCTGGGGGGGGCTGTGGTCACCCGTGCGCAAGCGCGCTCGATTCCGCGCTCTGATGAAACTTCGCCTTCCCTTTTCCCTGGGGGGGGGGGGGCTGGGTCCAGAAATATATGTCTGCTTTTACTGCTGATGATGATGCCTCCCTGAAAGCGTTGCCAGATTGTGTCCGTAGCCCTGAAGGTCTGATTTATTCTGGAGACAAACTGTATGTGCCTATTTCAATGAGGAGGGAGGTGATGGAGTCTGCTCACGGTTCGAAACTGGCAGGGCATTGGAGTTTTGTTAAATCTCTGCAACTCATCCGCAGACAGTTCTGGTGGCCACAGATGCGCAAAGACCTCTTGACTTTTGTTCGGTCCTGCCAAACCTGTGCCTTGACTAAACCCAGAGTGGGCAAGCCTCCTGGTCTTCTGCAGCCACTCCCTACCCCATCGAGACCGTGGGAAGTGGTGTCCATGGACTTTATTACTGACCTCCCTGCGAGCAAAGGGAACACTGTTATTTGGGTGGTTGTTGATTTATTTTCTAAGCAAGCTCATTTTGTGCCTTTTCCTTCCTTGCCTACAGCTCAGAGGTTGGCGAAATCGTTTATGTCTCACGTGGTGAAAATTCATCAATTACCTGCTAAATTAATTTCTGACAGGGGGACCCAATTTGTTTCTAAGTTTTGGAGGGAACTTCTTTCCATTTTAGGGGTGGAACAAGGGCTCAGCAGCGCGTATCATCCTGAGACTGACGGACAAACAGAACGAGTTAATCAGACCCTGGAGCAATATCTTCGTTGTTTTACTAATTATCAACAGAATGATTGGTGTGAATTGTTGCCTCTTGCTGAATATTGTTATAACAATACTGTCCATAGCTCCACGGGCATGTCTCCTTATAAAGCTGTCTCTGGTTACGACAGCCCCCCCCTCCCTTTCCTGGAGGGGATGGGCCAACGTCCTGTGGGGGATGCTGATACATGGTGTATGTCCTTGCAAAATGCATGGCCTCTGCTATGCCAAACGCTTGACGCAGCCAAGGCTGCTTACAAGACCCAGGCAGACAAGGGTAGGGTGGTGGGGTTTGATCTGAAACCTGGGGATCTTGTGTATGTCTCGACCAAGAACATTAAGATGCTGCGACCTAGCAGGAAATTGGGGTGGAAGTTCATTGGTCCATTCAAAGTGCGTAAAGTCATAAATAATGTGGCGGTTGATGTTGTTTTGCCTAAGAATTTACGTGCTCTGCATTCTGTTTTTCACATGAGCCTGTTGAAGAAGGATCCTGGCCCGTCTCCCTGGAGACCAGCAGTTACTCCTCCTCCACCTGTCATTTTGGAAGGGGATGAACATTTTGAGATCGCTGATATCCTTGATTGTAAATTGAAACGTGGTAAACTCTGGTACCTTATCGAATGGGTTGATTTCGGTCCCCAGCACCGCGAATGGGTGGAAGAAGGGGATATTCGGGCCCCTTACCTGATCCGTAGTTTCCACAAGAGGTTCCCGGACAAACCGGGAGGTCTCCCGCCCAGCCCGGGAGATCTCCCGCCCGACCCGGGAGGTGTGTTTTAAGTGTATTTTAAGGGGGGCAGTATGTCAGCAAGCTGCCATTCTGTGTTCTGTGACCTCTGTGTACATATCCTTACCCTGTTGCACCCGGCTTGTTTATGCTATCCTGCTTCTGTGCTGGAATGCCTAAGATAACTACTGGTGGATGTGTGGGGGAGAAGATGCTGTAATGCTTGCCTATTGCTATCTCATGAGAACTGCACCTGTGTTTTGTCTGATGTTCTGCCTGGTTCCCATGGACTGGGCACGCAACCGTTTCATTAGCCCGCCAGCGGGAATATTATTCATTGGATATGTACCTGTTTGAATTTCCTTTATTATGCTCGCCCTAACTGTGTATCCCCAGTTCTAACAAAGAACGTGTTTGAGTATGTCTTCAACGCTTTGAAATAAATTTTGCTTTTCTTGAAAACGTGGATTTATTCTCGATGCTTGGGGATCCAACAGTCAGTCACAAGTTATCGCGGAGCTGTTCTCTCAAGAGCAGTCATTAAAAGAGCTCTCTCAGCCCCACCTACCTCACAGGGTGTCTGTTGCGGGGAGGGGAAGGGAAAGGAGATTGTAAGCCGCTCTGAGACTCGAGTGAAGGACGGGGTATAAATCCAATCTTCTTCTTCCTCCTCCACCCCCCACAATCCTAATTCAAACGAAATACCATAAGAAAACAAATCAGTCGGCTTCCTGACACTATGAATAGAATATTAATTTTTCATTGGGTTAAATGACAGTAAATGAAAAGGGACAGGACTCTTAAAGAATAAATTTTGCTTACGATTTGCACCATGCTGATTGAAACAGGATACAGTGCAAAAAAAAAAAACCCAACAAGCAAGAAGAATGAGAAAGATTCCCTGGCCAAGGGACCTCACCAGAATACTTTCTCCAACCTGCTTGGCCCCAAAGTTTTGGCAAAGATCACTGCAAAGCCTGGATGGCTGCTTTGTGAATGGGGAAATTCGGATTTTTCTCCAGCCGCTCAGCAGCCATCTTCCCTGAGACTGTCTCTGCACTGGCCATTTCCACCCCCACCCCCACAACAGGAGGATTTAAATGTTTTCAGTTGGCACTAGAATCTCATTATGTGTGCACCAGGTTCTCTGAATTCCCAGCTTTCTTTTTAAAAAAGTAACTCTCTAGCCTTTTCCATTGTGGAGATATAAGGGGATGATGTGCCTATCTACACAATGGAAATGGCTAGAGACTTACTTAAAAAAAGAAGAAGACGACAATGACCACTGGGAATTCAGTAGGGTTACCAAGTCGTTGCAGTCGCCACAGCGGGGGACTCCCGGGCGGCGACTGGAGCGCGCGCCGCACGCACGTCACCCGGAAGTGACGTTAGGACGCTGGGCACGCTGGGGGCGGGGCCACGACCCTCTGAGGAAAAAACCATAGAGTTTTCCCGCGTGGGTCCGCGCCCCCGCCCCAGTGTGCTCGGCGTCCTAACGTCACTTCCTGGTGACGCGCACATCGGGGCGGGGTTCCCCCCGGGGCCCGATCTGCCAGTGGCGGGGAATGGGCCTCTGGGGTGGGGGTTTCCCCACCCCCCAGGGGGACTTGGCACCCTAGAATTCAGAGAACCTAATACACAAGGGCCCCTGGAATTTTGTACCCTCCTCCTGGTGGCCTGGCCATCCCTCCCACTCCACTGCTGTTCATGGCCCTGGATGCAAGGCCTGATAGGAAATTCCACAATCCAACGGGGCTGATGTCCCTGTCGAATTGTTGAGCAGCTTTTGGGCTTGATGAAACGCCCACCCCCCATTCATATTGTGGGGAGTGGGGGGGCTATAATTAGCCCACATGTGGGTTAAGGCAAGGGCGTCACAGAAGGAGATGGGCTTTGAGGAGGGAATGAAGGAAAAGAGGGACAGATTCCAGGTTTACTGGGCAGACAGGGTGAAGGGGTAGGGCTATTTATAGGGGGGGGGTTCCTTCGGGTTTTTGAGAGCAGTGGAATCCGGGGAGCAAGACTGGAACGGGGAGTATCGTGACGCTGGGCTATCAGGGTCGTACAGCGAGTGGGTTCCTTCCACCAGCACCTCCACCCTGTATTTATGCGTGTCTTGAAATCTGTCTGCATCTCATTCCAGGGACGGCACCAGCCCCGCACTGGCAGCCGGCACGTATCTGGAGCCCGCCTCTGGCACCCCCCGAGGCAGCCTCAGTCCGCAGCACGCTGGCTCCTCAGACCGCAGCCTCCAGCCTGCCAGCCCTGGCCAAAGGTGGGTCCCGTTTCGAACAAACACCAGTTTCCTTGTTGTCCCCGCCTTTGTTTAAGGAGTGGGAGGCAGAGGGTCTCTAGCGTCTACCTGGCAGGTGTGCATGGCTCCTAATCCGTCCAATGTTTGGGCGGGGCGAGGCGGGGCTCGTTTCATCCACTGCCCCTTTCAAAGGAGTGGCCCTTTTAGCGAGACAAGAAGTCACTGAACCATCGAATCGTAGAATTGGAAGGGACCTCCAGGGTAATTTAGTCCAACCTTCTGCACAATGCAGGACATTCACAAATACCTCCCCCCCCACACACACACACAGTGACCCCTGCTCCATGCCCAGAAGATGACAAAAAAACCCTCCAGGTTCCCTGGCCAAACTGGCCTGGAGAAAAATTGCTTCCTGGCCCCAAAGTGGAGATCGGCATTTCCCTGGGCGAGTGAGAAAGGGCCACGAGAACTAAGCCCCGAGGCAACCCTTCCTGCCCTCCCTTCTCACGATCTGCCTCAGTTCACAGAATCAAGTAATATATGAGAGACCTCCTAGTTGATACAAGTTATAGAAACATCCAGGGAAACGTTTTGTATATAATGCAATAGATACTATATTGAAATCTTATACAAAGTGTAAATTAATTTTTAAAGTGCTTAATTCATAAATTCATAAAATACCACCTATTAATTCATACATAAGGATCAATATATTAATGAAGCTTCTGGCTTGAGTCTTCATTTCGCTCCTAGACATAAGCTTTGATAAGCAGAGAGAAAAAAAACCTTGGAAAACAAAAGAGACAACACTCACTAAATGCAAAATGTTGAATAAGAGAATTTGCTCCTGAGGAAGTCATAAGAGAATTTACTTCTGAGGAAGTCTAGGAGCAAAACAAAGACTCAAGCCGGAAGCTTCATTAATATATTGTTGTATTGCGACACCAGATTCAAATGATCATCACTGTTAACATGTCAAGGTCAGACGCTGCCAATGCCCGCCGTCGCCCGCGAACAGCACTAGCACTTTACGCTCTGTTTTAAAAGTGTATTGCTGTGGTTCTGTTTAACTTTGTGTTCTGGTGTTTAATATGTTTTATGTAAGTCGCCCCAAGCCTGCCTCAGCAGGGAGGGCAGGATACAAAATAAATAAATAAATAAGAATCTTTTCTAGCTCCTTCCTGGCTGCCCTTCCTGGCCTCAGCCTCCTCCTGATTTCGTGGTTCAAGTCTCCCTTTTGGGTTTTTTATTTATTTATTTATTTTATTAGTTTGATTTATATCCCACCCTCCCTCACAAAGGCTCAGGGCGGCTCACATGCGGCAAAGCCAAGTGCAAATACAATACAGTATATAATAAATAAAACATTTTAAATCACAATAAAACCCTCCAATAATACGGTGCTATACCTATATATGGTTGATGACAGAACCAAGAAATAGAAAATCCTGAGCAATTGCAGTTCCTTTTTCACCAACCTTAAAGTTGTGTAATTCCCCAGCAGTTATTACTTTTTTCCCCCATCCCCCTAGGGGGAGGTTTTTATTGATTTTTTTGCAGACTACAAAACTACAACAGAAAATATGGGGAAGGGAACTACATCTAGGGAAAAAAGAAAAAGACCCACAACTAACTAAAAACCCAAGAGTAGGAGATCAATACATCAGCTTATCACGATGCTATTTTCAAAATGCTACTAATAATACAATGAATTTAGTTGGTTATGCTAGATTAATTATCATTTAACCATCCCTTTAACTGTTTAAAGAAGTTCCCAGAGCATCCCCAAGTTATTTCAACATTTTTTCGGGCACAAATCAGAGTCCTTCAGCCCTTATTTATTCTTATCTTTTCTAATCCTCCGTTTATATGAGCTTTTGGGGGCAGCCGCCCCTTTTTCAGAGGGGGAATCCACGTCCGAAGACCCCAAACCCAACTCACCATCAGATTTGCTTTCTTCTTCCTCCCCTTTGCCCTCATCTGGTTCCCTAAGCTGTGTTCGCAGAAATTCACATGCTTTGAAACAGAGTCAATCTTTTCTTTTTTGTCGTGGAGCTTGAAAATGACGCCTTCTGGGATTAACCATCTGTAACTGATGCCATTTGTTTGTAAGAAAAGGATTAATTCTTTATAGTTCTTTCTCTTCTGCCTTATTTCAAATGGAGTGTCTTTTAAAATCCTGATATTATTGTCCCCAATTTTCAAGGGTGTTCCCGAAGTTGTTTTCAAAATAGCATCTCTCACATGTCTCTTCGAGAATCTGACCACTATTTCCCCAGGCAGATTATTTTTCTTGATGTACGATGAATAGGACCTGTAGACCACATCCATCTCGCTGCAAAGGTATTCCACTGTTGATCTGTCATTGGGGCTATTGCTTCACTCAACCGTTGCTTCAGATTCTCTCCTTTAAATTCCGGGACTCCTTGAAACCGTAGGACCAAATTTGCTTTATCCATTTGTAACTGTAAGAGTTTTGACTCTTCCGTAGCTTGCTTCATTTGCAGCTTTTGCACCTTTTTCTTAACTTTTTTAGTAGTGACGTCCATTTCCTTCACCTTCTCTCCCATTTACTCTGTTGCTTTTAAGGATTGAGTCAGTTGCATCTGCTGCGCTGCCAAACTCTGCCCGATTGTTGACAGTTGTTGTTTAATACCAGTGATCTCATCCAGCAAGGGGCACAGGGAGTCAGCCAAGAGTTTTGAGAGCTCAGTGACCTCATCCGTTCGAGGACTGCCCCCTAGTTTTGGTTTCAACAGCTTTTCTTTCTCTGGTTGCTTCCCCGCCATCTTTTTGGATTTGTTTACTTTTCAAAAAAGTTGCTAAAGTCTCTGATATTTGCCCGAACGCTTTTCTGCGCTCTGGTAAGAGTCGCGTATGTTTCCGCTCCCCCCTCTTTCGTCCATGTTTCATCTGTGCGTTTGGGAGGGACCCCTCCCCCGCTCACTTTCCCATCGCTCTTTAGGAGGGGAAGCTTCTTTTTATATCTTCATGCTCGCTTCAACCCGACTCACAGTTCGTTGTTGGCCATTCGGCCTCGCTCGTCAACATTTATTTTGTCCGATCTCCAACGCTTGTCCCGGTCAGCAGCACTCGTACCATGCAGTCACTCAATGGCAGGACCCTTGGGGCGGAGGGGCGCCTCAATTATCCGGCTTTCGGCCATCGAAGAGGTCGCCCCTCAAAAGCCCCCTGGCTGGGAGCCTTTTACCAAGGCTCCGGGGGGGTTGCGACCCGTCGGACCCTCTCCCACATGCTGGTGTGCAGTTTACATCCCCGGGACGTCTGGGAGATGTGTCTGCCTGCGTGTCGGCATAAACCAGAAGCCAGCAGTTATTACTTTTGTTGCCCGTGTTTGCATGGTTTTAATTAGCCAGCTGCGACAGTTTTGCACACCAGCCCGACTTGCATCTGCCGTTCTTGCACTGGAAAGAACAGAAAGGTGCAGCTGAGCCGGAGTGTTAATCGGCTGCGGGGTGGTGGTGGGGGGAGGATTAGGTGTCAGCCATCAGCTCTGTTAAAGAGTTGACGCTTGCGTCAAGAGGAGGCTGTGAAGAACTGTGATGTTCTCACACTCCTTTGTGTGTGTTTATGGGGAGGGGGATAATGTATGTGCCTTTCCACCGTGCCACATTAAGACGTTTTAACTCTACAAACGTTTGCGTTTAACGCTCTTAATGACCTCGTGGGAAATCAGGCATGAGCCAGGCAGAACAAGCAAAGCAAACTGCTTAGCAGTGGCTGGGCCTGCCCTTGAAGGTGACGAACTTCCCTGTGAATAGGGTTAGCCGGTTTAGAGAAATTCCTGGAGATTTGGGGCGGGTGGAACCTGGGGAGGGCGGGTTTTAGGGAGGGGAAGGACTTCAGTGGGACCTAATGCCGTATGTTTCATGTAAGCCGCCCTGAGCTCGCCTTGGCGGGGAGAGCGGGGTATAAATCGAACAAACAAACAAATAAATGTAGTCCAGTTTCCAAAGTGGCCATTTTTCTCCAGGACCACGGATCTCTGTAGCCTGGAGTTTAGCTATAATCCCAGGAGATCTCCGGGCCTCCCCTGGCTGTTAGTACAAAAACTGAGGGTCACAGTGTTAGGAAGATATGGAAAAATATATGACTGTTCAGTTGTTAGCAGTTCAGATGCTATCCATGTGTTGGTGCTAGTGGTGGCTCCTAATCGAAGGCCTGGTGGAAGAGCTCCGTTTTACAGGCCCTGCGGAGGCGTGGTGGAAGAGCTCCGTTTTACAGGCCCTACCTCACAGGGTGTCTGTTGTGGGGAAGGGAAGGGAAAGGAGATTGTAAGCCGCTCTGAGACTCCTGTGAATAGTGAAGGGTGGGGTATAAATCCAATCTCTTATTATTATTATTTTACCTCACAGGGTGTCTGTTGTGGGGAGGGGAAGGGAAAGAAGTTTGTAAGCCGCTCTGAGACTCCTTTGGGTAGTGAAGGGCGGGGTATAAATCCAATCTCTTATTATTATTATTTTACCTCACAGGGTGTCTGTTGTGGGGAGGGGAAGGGAAAAGGGATTGTAAGCCGCTCCGAGACTCCTTCGGGTAGTGAAGAGCGGGGTATAAACCCAATCTGTCCTTCTCTCTTTTTCTTCTGTCTGGTTCTGGATGCTGTAATACCAAAGAACGCCAACAAGATTTAGAAATATCTACCATTATGCAGATAAAAATCACTTGTGCCAATGAAGACTGAACCCAACTATTTCAGCCAGTCAGTATCCAGATATTAACAAGGTCAATTCTGATTACAGTTGTTTGGCTAACCACTGAGTCACAGCCCCGCTCACTGGCTTTCACATTTGAAAATAACCAGACTTAGCAGAGTATGTGGTGGGCTTTTCCTTTAGAAAAAATATTTTTTGTTAATAGAGCCATGTGTTCCATTTTTTAGCACCAAAGACTCACGATCTCCAGCTCGGGTATCCCACGGCTCATCGGGCGTAGTGTTTTCATCCAGCAGTTCGTCCGGCAAGACAGTCCTCAGTGTTTCACCAGGCGACGTGGCCGATGGCGAACACGTGGATGGAAAAGGTAAGAATGAATGATAAGATCCGCAGGGTCGGGTGGGCTACAGGCTCTTTCAGGCGACGACGGATGTAACTTTTTTATAGAACGGTGGGGTCAGTTTGGAAATGCCGTCACTGCATTTTAATTCAGAGAAGAAGAAGAGATTGGATTTTATACCCCGCCACTACCCAATGGAGTCTCAGAGTGGCTTACAAACTCCTTTCCCTTCCCCTCCCCACACCCTGCTTATAATTATTGTGACTTAGAGACGTTTGGATGGATGCTGATAGTTTCACAATTGAACTTTTCCCCAAAAAAGGGATTACATGCAGATTAGAAGCTGGACACGTTTCTAGTCCCATATCTGCAACTCACATGGCAGGATAGTCTATCAGCTAATGGGTCCAGCAGCATCTTAGAGACCAAGAAGATTTCCGGAGCATGAGGTTTTGAGAGTCAAGCTCCCTTCATCAGATTCGAAAACTCCAAAATCTTGTTGGTCCCTAAGGTGCTACTGGACTCAAATCCAGCTCTTCTACTGCAGACCAACATGATTACTCTCTGACAGGATTAGATAGTAAGTCTGCCAGGTAGGAGGCGGCCTTAAAGCACTCCTCTCTGTAGGGGGTTCACACTCCTCCTTTCAGAACTAAGCCTGGATTTCATTTTTCTCTCTTTCAGAGCTGGACGTTCCTCCCGTCATCAAAGAGAAGAAGCCACCGAAATCCAAGACTGCCTCCCCTCGCCTTCCCCAAGTCACCATCCGGCCGGGGTCCAACACCAAAGCCGTGCTCCCTCCCATCCCGTCGGGACAGAAAAAGACAAACCCGTAGTGGGGCCGCTACACCTTTCCCCAGCTGCCTCGCTCGTAGTTGTCCCCCTCCGGTCTGTCCCCCTCCACGAAAAATCTGCACGAAACTTCTCCATTCCTGATGGCCCAGGGTGGATTAGTCTCTCCTGGAACACAGGTCCTGATCTGCTTGGAACATCTCTTGGGTGGAGCAGGCCACGCATAAGAGGTGCAGAATCCCTTGGCGAGGGGAGAACGTGGCTACGCCTAACAAAGATTAGCACCTTCGTTTTCCTAGTAGCGCGAAATATTCGTCCGCCCTCCTTTGGAAAGGTCCGAAGTTGCCCTTTAGGCACCCGTGGCTTCCCTGTAGCTGTTTCAAGGCCGGGGGCATCTGGGTTGGGGATTGGCTTGTGTTGTATAGACTGACGATTTTTGTAGTGCTACGTTTTTCCCTGAAGGATGAAACGGTTTATTGTGTTTCTATAAAGTAACAGAATAGCCCACCTGGCTGCTGTATTTTTCACCCGTAGAATCACAGAGTCGGAAGGAGCCATGCAGGACATCTCATCCAACCCCCAGCTCAGTGCAGGATCAGCCTAGAGCATCCCTGACAAGGGTTTGTCCAGCCGCTGCTTCAAGACGGCCAGGGAGGGGGAGCTCACCACCTCCCCAGGCAGCCCATTCCACTGTTGCACAACCAGGGGTCATTTTGTAGAAAAAGAGGTGCAGGGGCTCATTAGCATAACTCATTAGCATAACTTATTTGCATATGCCACACCCCCTGACATCACCGGAAGTGTGTCAGATGGCAACCCCCACCGCTCAGACTCCACTGGACTTTTTTGGATTGCTAGCTAGTGGGGGGGGGGGAACATGCAAATCTGTCCTCACAGAGGAGGGAGAGCTTGTACCTGAATAAAACTTGAAGGTGCCACTGGACTGTTTTGGACTGGGGGGAGCTCTGCAACTTACCTGGCTGCTTCTTGATCTGACTGAGGGCTGCCGGGAGCAGGGGGCGGGGCTTGTTGCATGTGCCCGCCCCCGGGCTCTTTACTGCTGGAGCTCCGCTTCTGTGCGCTCCTGCAGGAAATGACCCCTGTGCACAACTCTTACTATAAAAAAAGTTTTTCCTAATATCCAGCCGGTATCTTCCCACCCTTAATTTAAACCCCTTCTTAAGAACATAAGAGATGCCAATGTTGGATCAGGCCAAAGGCCCATCCAGTCCAACATTCTGTATCACACAGTGGCCAGAAATACCAGTGCCATCAGGAGGTCCACCAGTGGGGCCAGGACATTAAAAGCCCTCCCACTGTTGACCCCCCCAAGCACCAAGATGACAGAGCATCACTTGCCCCAGAGTCCCTATCTATACCTTGTGGCTAATAGCCACTGATGGACCTCTGCTCCATATGCTTATCTAATTCCCTTTTGAAGCCGTCCCGTTCTTGCGGGTCCTCTCCTCTGCTGCCGACAGTAACAGCTCCCTACCCTCCTCTAAGGGACAGCCCTTCGGGTACTTCAAGAGAGCCATTCTGTTCCCCCTCCACCTCCTCTTCTCCAAACTGAACACTCCCAAGTCCCCCAGCCTTTCCTCACAGGGCTTGGTCTCCAGGCCCCTGATCATCCTCGTCGCTCTCCTCTGCACCCGCTCCACTCTGTCCACATCCTTTGTGAAGTGAGGGACTGCACACAAGACTCCAGGTGCGGCCTGAGCAATGCAGCGTACAGGAGGACCATGATACCTTGCAATCTGGATGTTATGCCTCTGTTGATACACCCCAAGATCGCATCACACTGGCTGCTCACGTTTAACTCACGATCCACCCGTACCCCAAGATCTTGTCCAGACACACTGCCACCCAGAAATGTATCCCCCATCCAGTATGCGTGCTCCTCATTTTTGTTACCCAGATGTCGAACGCGCCACTCATCCTTGGTAAAATGCATCTCGGTCACATCTCCCCACTTTCCCAGCCTGTTCAGATCTCGTTGGATTCTATCTCTTCTGGTGTGTTCGCTGTCATCTGCAAATTTAATGAGTAGCCCCTCCACACCCTCATCCAGATCATTGATAAAAACGTTGAGAAGTACCGGGCCCAGAACTGAGCCCCGTGGCACTCCACAGCAATGTTCCCTCTAAGCTGTGGAGTCTTGTGAGCAAAAATTCTACTTTGTGAGCTACTGGCATTAAAGTTGAGAGCGAGCCATTTGGCTGCTGCATAAATTAGTTTGCGCTGGAGCCATCCTTCCTGAGCTAAGATCAAAATGTGTGAGCCGGAGGCTAAAAAACTGTGAGCTCACTCACACTAACTCAGCTTAGAGGGAACACTGCTCCACAGGACATCTCCTTCCATTCAGATGAGACGCCACTGACAGCTACTCTTTGAGTGTCGTTCTCCAACCAGTTCCCTATCCACCTAACTATCCTAGAGTCCTGTCCACAGTCCTCTAGTTTACCTATCAGAACATCATGGGGAACCCTGTCAAAAGCTGTCAGCCAAACAATCATATGTTTAGAAACCTTCTTCAAATAAAGCCTCTCAACCCCCCCCCCCCTTGCAGGGGAGACACAGGCCAGTGATCATGGACAAAGAGACCCGCTGTGGAATGGCCAGCGCTCAGTTCCACTTTGTTGCCGCAAAAGTAATCATCAGAAGATGCTTTGGGGGGATTTATAAGAACATAAGAGACGCCAGTGTTGGATCAGGCCAAAGGCCCATCCAGTCCAACACTCTGTATCACACAGTGGCCAGAAATACCAGTGCCATCAGGAGGTCCACCAGTGGGGCCAGGACATTAGAAGCCCTCCCACTGTTGACCCCCCCCCCCAAGCACCAAGAAGACAGAGCATCCCTTGCCCCAGACCGAAAGTTCGTATCTATACCTTGTGGCTAATAGCCACTGAGGGACCTCTGCTCCATATAAGAACATAAGAGACGCCAATGTTGGATCTGGCCAAAGGCCCATCCAGTCCAACACTCTGTGTCACACAGTGGCCAGAAATACCAGGTGCCCTCAGGAGGTCCAGCAGTGGGGCCAGGACACTAGAAGCCCTCCCACTGTTGACCCCCCCCCCAAGCACCAAGAAGACAGAGCATCACTTGCCCCAGAGTCCCTATCTATACCTTGTAGCTAATAGCCAGTGATGGACCTCTGCTCCATATGCTTATCTACTCGGTGCCCTAGAGGATAGATTGCAGTCATTACCAAGTAAGTCAGAAGGTTGGGAGAGAAAGCGACATGGCGTAGCCCCATTCTGTCAGATCCAGGAAGCGAAGCAGAGGTGGTTCTTGGATGGGAGACCACCAAGGAAGGCTCTGCAGAGGAAGGCCATGGCACTGAAGAGATCTCGACAGCAGAGGTTAGTTCTCAACTGCTGTGATACGGATTCCACATGTGGGAGAATAATTTTGGTCCGGCTCTGTCATCCAGTGCAAATGCAATAAATGGTGTGGAATGGTACGGTCTTGGCCAGTCTCACCAAATCTTGGAAGCTAAGCAGGGTCAGTACTTTGACGGGAGACCACCAAGGAAGACTCGGCAGGGGAAAGCAATGGCAAGCCACCTTTGTTTCTCACTTGCCTTCGATGCCCCTTGCTGGGGTCGCCACAAGTCAGTTGCGACTTGACGGCACTTACGTGCGTAAGTCAAGACAGTTGGATCCTGCAGGTCGGCTCCACCAGTGGAGGTCCTTTCCTCTGGCCCTAGTGGAAGAGGCATTACGTTCACCTGACAAGAGCAGCACCAGTGCGGTGTCATAGTTTTCATTCTTTAGAACAGCTTGCAAACCAAGCAGTGAGGGAGCTACCCTTAGCCTGCCCGGGCTTGCAAATTGGACCGAATCATGCCGAGAAAAGAGAGGTAACCTTGAACGGTAACGACGAGATGACAGGTCACAGCGGTAGAGAGCAAAATGTACCTGTGATGAATCCCGAACGAAGTTATCTCTCACGGTTGAGACTGCTGGCTGCCACGCAATTATCCTGACACAGGAGAAGCATTCGCAAAGCCTCAGGGTAGCAACGGCACGTCCTTCTTTATCTGTGAACATCTGCTATGACTCACCAGGCAATGACAGCCCTTAACGGACTGCTGATGCCAGTTGGACCGGATATGACAAGTTGAGTGGAGGGATACTCCTGGGACGGCAGGCTGACACATTCTCGGTTACAAATGAAGAGAAGCCAAGTTATCAAAGGGCAGGCCCGAAAGGTCCCCTCCAGTTCTTCAAAACCGTCAGGAAAATCCTGCTGTGACACTTTGGGGACGACACCATTTAGAGAAGGAATCTGATCGATCGCAAACCTTTCGGTCAGCAAAAAAAGATGCCTCGCGTAAGACGGCAGATGCCTTTAAAAAACTGTGCCATTACACAAGACGAAAGTCATAGCAAGCAGATTGCTTCTTGGTATCAAAAGAGATGGGAGAGTAAGAAATCCGTGACCAGGACTGCCAAGGTGGGAGGGGAGACTGGAGGGTCAAAATTCGGAGGGGGGCTCCGGTCAGCTGGAGGGCCCCTGACGTCAGTGTCATGGTGTATTCACGGAATGCATTTTCTAAAAAAATTCCTAATGCAGTTCTAATGCAGTTAGGGGCTGTGGTGGCTCAAGTGGTGAAGATGCTGAACTGCGGACCGGATGGTCGGTAGTTCAGCAGTTCGAGACCCAAGTGCCGCATGATGGAGTGAGCTCCCGTCTCTGGTCCCAGCTGCTGCCAACCTAGAAGTTCGAATGCAAAAAATTGCACGTAGATAAATAGGTACCACTTCGGTGGAAAGGTAACAGCGTTCTGTGCGCCTTGGCATCTAGGCATGCTAGCCACATGACCATGGAAATGTGTTTGGACAGCGCTGGCTCTTCAGCTTGGAAACGGAGATGAGCACCGCATCCCTAGAGTCAGATTCAACTGGCTTTCAAGCAAGGGAAACCTAATGCAGTTCTGACTGCAGGGAAGGCAGAGCACAGCAAAGAGCAGCATCTGACCCTGCTATCTATGCCTTTATGCAGTGTTTAAAGGTAAAGGTTCCCTTCCTCGAAAGCCAGTCGAATCTGACTCTAGGGATGCGGTGCTCATCTCCGTTTCCAAGCTGAAGAGCCAGCGCTGTCCGAAGACGTTTCCATGGTCATGTGGCCGGCATGACTAAACACCAAGGTGTACGGAACGCTGTTACCTTCCCACCGAAGTGGTACCTATTTATCTACTTGCAATTTCTTGCTTTCAAACTGCTAGGCTGGCAGGAGCTGGAACTAGAGACGGGCGCTCACTCCGTCATGCGGCACCCGGGTCTCGAATTGCTGAACTACTGACCTTCCACAGCCTGCAGTTCAGCGTCTTAACCACTTGAGCCACCGCAGCTGTGTTTACTAGGAGGCTAAGCCCTTACTTCTCAGATCCTGCTAAGCCCATCAGCCAAGCCAGTGTTGGAGCAAGGCAAGACCCGCTAGAACAAGCTGCAATCAGTGGCAGGCTGCAGCCTCCTAACTAGGTCATTA